CATTTTGTTCTGTATTTGAGATGCTGTTAATCTGTGACCCTACCCCCAACCTTGTCCTTGCAAGAGACATGTGCTGTGGTGACTCAAGGTTTAACGGATTTTGGGCTGTGCAGGGTGTATGTACTTTGTTAAACAAGTGCCTGAAGGTAGCTTGCTGGTTAAAAGTCATCACCATTCTCTTAATCTCAAGTACCCAGGGACACGTACAGTGCCAAAGGTCGTAGGGACCTCTGCCTAGGAAAGCCAGGTATTGTCCAAGGTTTCTCCCCATGTGATAGTCTGAAACATGGCCTCGTGGGATGGGAAACACCTGATCGTCCCCCAGCCTGACACCCATGAAGGGTCTGTACTGAGGAGGACTAGTGTAAGAGGAAAGGAGGCCTCTTGGCGGTTGTTGGCGATTGAGATAGAGAAAAGCACCTGTCTCCTGTCAGTCCCTGGGCAATGGAACATCTCGGTATAAAACCCGTTGTATGTTCTGTTTACTGAGAAAGGAGAAAACCACCTTAGGGCTGAAAGTGGGACTTGCTAGCGCAAGGCTGCTCTTTATGCACTAAAAAGGTTTATGGAGATGTTTACATATGCATATCAACGCACAGCACTTTTCCTTAAACTTATTAATGTCACAGAGATCTTTATTCATACGTCTTACTGCTGACTTTCTCCCCACAATGATCCTATTATCCTGCCACTTCCTTTTCTTTAAGATGGTAAAGATAATTATCAATAAATACTAAGGAAACTCAGAGACCGGTGCCGGCGTGGGTCCTCTGTATGCTGAGCGCCGGTCCCCTGGGCCCACTTTTTCCTTCTCTATACTTTGTCTCTGTGTCTCATTTCTTTTCTCAAGTCTCTCATTCCACCTAACGAGAAACGCCCACAGGTGTGGAGGGGTATGCCACCCCTTCACTCCTCAAAAAGTTACACAGAATTACCATATGACCCAACAATTCCACTTCTAGGCATATACCCAAAAGAATTAAAAACATGTATTCACACAAAAACTTTTTTTTTTTTTTTTTTGAGATGGAGTCTCGCTCTGTCGCCCAGGCTGGAGTGCAGTGGGGCGATCTTGGCACCAGCCACCATGCCCAGCTAATTTTTGTATTTTTAGTAAAACAGGCTTTCACTGTGTTGGCCAGGCTGGTCTCGAACTCCAGACCTCAGGTTATCCACCTGCCTCAGCCTCCCAAAGTGCTGGGATTACAGACGTGAGCCACCATGCCTGGCCTCACACACAAACTTTTACGTGAATGTTCATAGCAGCATTATTCATAACAGCCAAAATGCCCATCAGCTGACAAATGGATAAGCAAAACATGGTCTATCCAGACAATGGAATGTCATTTGGCTATAAAAAGAAATGAAGTACTGAAACATGCTGCAACATGAGTGAACCTCAAAACATGACTTTAAATCAAAGAAGCCAGATACAAAAAGCCACATATGTATGATTCCATTTTACACAGGATAGGCAAATCTACAGAGACAGAAAGTAGAATAATGGCTGCCAGGGGGAATAATGGCTGTCGTGGGGAAAGGGTACATGGGGAGGTGAGACTGCCATGGCAGTCCCCTAGTACAGTTCTGCTGGTTGGAAATAGGGAAGGAGGACAAATGGGTCCATGATCGTCCACCACAAATCTTGACACAGTGAGGTGATGTTTTGTATACTGATTTCATTTGAAGGAGAGACTGTTTTAGGTGTTGTAGTAATACTGTATCACATCTCCTACTTATACCTGCTTTTTTCTACTTGACGTTATATAATGACATGAAAAATGCTTATGATAGTCTTGACTATTTTTAAAAGATCAAATAGAATTCCAGTGAAACACTGAAGTAGTATTAAACATAATGTGGTCTAAAGACCACCAATACCTGAATTACCTGAAATAGATATCCAAGAGGCAGTTGCTGGGCTGTACCCCAGCAACCTGCAGAATCAGAAACTCTGGGAAAAGGACTTGGAATCTACATTTTTAACACTAAGTAATTTTTACATACACCAAGGTTGGTGAACCACTCCTTATGAAAGCTACAAAAGCCTAAAGAGTAAACTGCTCTTAAAATCAAAAGCTGTACTGTATTTTCATTTTGTTTCTTTTCCTAGAGGTGCAATCTCAGCTCACTGCGAGCTCCGCCTCCCGGGTTCGCCTCATTCTCCTGCCTCAGCCTCCCCAGTAGCTGGGATTACAGGCATGTGCCACCACGCCAGGCTAATTTTTTGTATTTTTAGTAGAGACACAGTTTCACCATGTTGGTCAGGCTGGTCTTGAACTCCTGACCTCATGTGATCCAGCCTCCTTGGCCTCCCAAAGTATTGGTATTACAGGCGTGAGCCACCATGCCCAGTCGACATAAATGTATTTTATTTCACCTTTTATTTTACACAAAAGGCAGCATGCTTATATACATTATTCCTATACAAAAAACTAAGTAGTAGAATCTATCATTGTTTTAATTTGATTTCTTTTAGACTTTGAGTAATCAAAGTTTTTTTCCATTTTTATTATGCCATGTGTTTTCCTAGTACTTTTAGTTTTTACTTTTTATTCTGATATACACTGTGAAGTATGTATCTAATTTTATCTATTTCCAAATGGTTATCCAATTGTCCCAACACCATTTATTTAAAGTCCATCCCAGCAGATTGAGATGTCACCTCATCTAAGCATACACTAATGTTTATATGTACTAGGCTCTATTTCTGGACTTGTTCTGAACTTGCTATGCTGCTCTCTTGATCTCTTTGTCTATTTATGTACTAACACCACATTGTTTTAAGGTTTAGTAGGGCTAGCTCTCCCTCCTGCCTTGTGCTATTCTTGATAAAAACTTTGGAGTCAAGCTGCCTAGCCTCAAAAAATAATTTGTTGGATTTGTGACATTGTGTTAAATTTTACATATTGACTTGGAGAAAATTGACATTTCTATGATGTTGAGTCATACTATCCAAAAATAAAGGATGTTTGTCCATTTGTTCTGGTCTACTTTTGTATCTTCAGAAAAGTTTTTCAATTTAATTCATGCAGGTTTTGCCTACTTCTTTATTTCCAAGAGCTTTTCCTTTTCTGTTGTTATTGTAATTGGAATCCATTATATCTTGTAGTTTGTTATTGTAAACACGGATGAAGACTATTTTTATGTTAATTTTATATCCTGCTCCTTTACTGAATTCTCATATTATTAGTATGAATTTAAGACTCGGTTCCCCTGAGTTTTCCAGGTATGCTAGATCATCCACAAATAGAAATAGTTTATTTTTTCTAATTCGTATGTCTCTAATCTGTTCTCATAAGCTGTAATTATTTTCTCCACAGCCAAGAAGGATGGAAAGATGGAAGAAGTCCCTGAGGAAGGTGAGAGGATTTGGAGCACAGGTGGAAAGAATAACAAAAGAATAATTTTGACAAAAGTAAGAGGGATGGGGCCGGGCGTGGTGGCTCACGCCTGTAATCCCAGCACTTTGGGAGGCTGAGGCGGGTGGATCACGAGGTCAGGA